CCTCTGCATTAGCTGCCTCAAGTGCTCAACATATGTAACCATAAGGTGCATGGGCACCTGTAGGGAGCTCTGCAGTGACATGGGACTTGTTCTTGTCTCCTCTGCAGCTAGATGTATCCCCAAATTGGTGTGGGTTGGCACAGATTTACTGCCAGTTGGGAGCTCTGCACAAGCCCAGGTAGTTACCTCCTCTGCTTGAACTTTCCCATGCCATATGGACTTATCTGATGGAGTGGCAAGAAGGGATTTTCTAGGAGTGCTGAGAGGGCTGTAGCAGCCCTCAGGGATGGCATCTGTATGTACTTATCACTTAATAGCAACCACAGAATTAGAGACCTTTTCTTATTTGTGGATGACTGCTTTCACCCCAGGTACATCGTGGTAGGTTGATGGGAAAAGAGAAATAATCTGTGAAAACTTCTGAAAGGCTTTTTTTAAATGGGTACCATCAACCAAAATAACAAGTAACTTGTATCGTTCTTGTATGACCCATGGATGCTGAGAATGTGTTGACTTTAGCTGTAACAAGTCGCAGTGAGGAGAAGATTCATGTGGGTAGAAGGAGCACACTGAGTTACAGGTGGCAGTGTCCAGGGCATGAAGTGGCTCATTTTGTGAGCGACAGAGGAGAGTTTTCTGTCTTCCTCTCTGAGGAAAAGTTTGGGAGCACGAATTAACTGTGGTGTGCCAAGAGGCAGGATCTGTGGTCTCTTGCAGATCTTGAACTTGCCATAAAATCATGGTGGTGCCTCAGGCAAGGCAGTATCTTAAGCTCTGATGTGGGAATCCAGAGCTGGAGCTTGTCTCCACAGCTACAATGTGTCTTCTGCATCTGCTCTTCAGTTACTCTGAGAAAAAACTGTATTCAGTTATATTCAGCCACAGCTACTCCCAGGAGGAATAGGTAAGTGGTGACTTTTGGGATACTGTCACCCAAGGAAAGAGTTACTCTTTCATCCAGCTTTCTCTTTTCCTTTGTTTTTCCTTTCCACTGTTGTGTTGCTCAGTTCTCTGGCAATCTTTGTTCAGGGACATTTGTTCAGACAAGTTGGTTCTAATGATCTCCTTGGGCTATCGCAGCCGGCATGATGGCTGCAGCAGGAAGCAAACACATGTTTTCTCAGTACGTCGTCTCAGATTTGAGTACCTGAATAATCTCTGTCACTCTGAGATACTCCAGAGAACAGTTCTTTCATTGACTGTACAATGTAGGGATGTGCTCTAGCATCTAACCAACATCTAGTTGAACATCAGTCACTACTGTGAGCATAAGGGTAATTTGTATGTCTCCAGATTAATTTATTTCTGTTCAAAAAGTTACTTGCTTTTCTCAGTCTCATAGTTTTCTTGGTCCTTGTTCATGGTGGCACAATAGAGGCACGTAGAGAAATTCATTCCTTGCTCCAAGTTACCCACAGTATGTGGTTAATCGAATGGCTGAAAGGGGTCAGGGCCCTGAATCATTTAGAAACAGGGCTTGCTGCCTTTGTTGAATGTGCCTGCTCCAACATTGTCTTAATACCTGAGCGCACTGGAGCAGCCCTGGGGTGAGAATGGGATTGGCATTCATTTTGGTGGGCTTGGACTCAGCTCCCTCTGTGGCAGGGATGAGTCATTCCTAAACCCTAGGGCAAATGATTCCTGTCCTAAAACAAGCCCTTTTCACAGAACTGCTGATGACAAAACACTGTGGTTCAGCTCTCCCACACCTAGATCTGCAGTATAAATCTCACAGACCTTCATAATAGGATGGACCTTGGTGTACTGGGCAGGAGGGGAATTACACATCCTACACACAGGGTTCCCAAGAGGCAGTCAGATGGTATGGGAGAGGACAGGAGGTTTGGGCAAATCCAGCTGCAGATGAGAATTAGTAGCTGCTGGCATCCAGCTAAGCCTTTGCAAGGGACACAGACAGAGATCACAGCAACACCAGCAGCTGCAGGGATCGCTGCTCACCTGAACAGGGGGATTTCTTCCCCCAGAAAGCCTGCAGTGTAGGAGCTCTGCTGTTTGAGGGATGTCTTGTTTTACCCTCTGTGTGCACTTGAAGACAGTTACGTGGAGACTCAAATTGCTATGTGAGCTGCTTTTGTAGAGGTGCAAATAATAATACTGCAGAGTTGTATCACTGAAAGTGGCTCAAGTCCAAAGCAGGATTCGGTTGTGTGCTTCAGGCGGTAGGGTTATGTGCTTGTACCAGATGGAGACTTTAAATTTTCATCAGCAGCTTTATAACCACAAAGAGTATCCTTTTATCAGCCCCTAGGTCTTTTACTAATAAGCTGCAAATGCTGAACTTCAATTAGGATGGAGTGGAGGTGCAGATGAAATAGTGTGCACTCTTACTGATGATGATCCATTACGTGAGAATGAAACCAAGACATGAGTGATGACCTGGTTCAGTTTTGGGGGCTTTTTTTGCTTGGGGGTTTGTTTTTGTAAGTGGTAGTTTTTTCGCCTTTAACACATAGTATAGCTGAGTGACAGTAGCTAAAAATAATCTGTACCAAATTCTCTGGTGATGGAACTTCATTCCAAGTGAATGGAGTGTGTTTTCGGTTCTGCTCGTCTTTGCACTGACTTCTGTAGGTGCTGGCTCAAGTCGACACAAGGGTGTGTGACAGCTGTGTTGTTAAGTTTGCCGTGGAAGGATACAGAGTTGACAAAACTATGTTTTTCCTGCTGCTGAGAGCTGGACAAAGAGGTCTAGGCTTTGAAGCAACACTGCTGTATGCTATCAGGGAATACTGGCTTTCTTGAGGAGTGCATGGAGAGGAAAAGGGGTTGATTAGTTTAATGCTGCCTTTGCCTTTAGCAGCATGTTTGCTGACCTACATGGGGTGCTTGTAGGCTGTACATGTGCCCCAGCTGAGAAGCTCTTTCTGGACCCTGCAGACATCCAGCTACTGGGCTGTGGTTTATAAATCATTCAGGACATTTGTGCGTTACAACAGCAGTGTCAGCTCTTTAGAGGGTGTTGAGGAAGGACCTCTACCTTGACTGGTATCTTTTAGGGAGGAAAAAGGTTGAGTGTATTTGCAAAGATCAGTCTTGGCACATAGTTGGAGAAGGCATTGAGAAATTGTCAGGAAAGCTGAGTAAAGTTGCAGCTTCATGGGATGTAGATTGGTTATGGCAATTTTGTGGCTAACGTTTCATGTCTTGCCTTTAGAAGGCTTTGCTGGAAAAGTAATCCACTAAGGATTAGGATAGGGCCTACTGTTGAAAACTAGAGATACGTAAATTTGAATCAGTAACTGAAAGAAAACTGTCCCTACAATAATACAACCAAGTACTTTTTGACTAATCAAACCCCAAAATATACCCCTGTAATATTTACCAGTCACTTCTTTGGTGGATTGCATGGATTGTGCTTCAAGAGAGTACGGCCGCTTTATAGGTCATTCTGGCTCATAGTCTCAGGAGAAAGGCAGAACAGCGTTGCAAAGGTCCCCATTGACACCATGAAACCAACAGGATTTTGCCCTTCCTGGATCATGCAGGGTTGAGATGCGTAGCTGGAGGCAGCAGCTGCTCTTTTACAAATTATGGCTGTAAGCTGTGCACTGGGGTTTGCAATTGCCACAGGAGTCAGAGCGCAAGTGCCACTTGATTGAATTATCAGAGATGCATGAGGCTTCAGTCCTAACTTCACATAGACACCACAGCTGAGAGATTATTGAGGCAAAATGGACCTGTTCTCTTTGATTAGCTCTAATTTGCTACTCTGATGGCATATATCAATGGTAAAAGAGGGCCAAGTAAGCTTTTTCTTTGTACTACACTTGAAATGTTACATTGCAAGAGGAGGAAAAGTTCTGTTTAGAATTGCAGAATCAGAGATGACATGAAATTGAAAAGAAAGATCAAAGATAGAAAACAGGGAAGGAAAAAAGAGGCAATGTACAGTATGGCGGCACAGACATCTTAATTTCATTTTAATGAATCTCTGACCTCTCAGGAACGGGAGGGTAGCTCTTTTGGAAAGAGAAGCCTTCTTCTGCCGTGCTGGGATTTCATTTGAACATGGTCTCTTACTGAAATGAAGGACTGCGCTCTGCTTCATGTCACAGAATTTGAACAGACCCAGCTCTTTTCTGACTCCCTGTGTCCTGCTTATGTAAGATGCAGATGATGGCTGCGGAACCTCTGGCTGAGCTCTGGAAAATGTTTTGTCAGTGACTCAGGTGCTTGGCAAACAGGCTGGCGTGACAGGCTTGGTGATGCAGTTGCAGTTAGAGGCACTCCCCGGGTACCAGAGCCCAATTCAAGGTCTCTTTATGGAGGTTGTTTCTGCTAGAAGCTGTGTGTAGCTTGTGGATCGTCTCAGTCACATTACTGCCAGGAGCCTCTGTGCTGATGCTGTATTAATTATGTGCAAGTACAAAGCAGCCCCCTTGATTGCATTGGAGCAGAAGAGAACCATAGCTCTGACTGTTCAGAGATGTGGATCAGCAAGGAAGCAGAAGAGCTAGGCAAGAATAAGACCTTGGCCTTTTTGCACGCCCCGTTCCCAAACTCTGTGCAGTCACTGTAACAGTGTTGGTTTGGTGGAGGACAAGACTGCATGTTACTGTAGGAGTAAAGTTGAGAACTATGAAAAGGGAAGGGTTAGACCCAGGGATGGTGGGAGAAAACTGAAACAGAGGCAGACCCACTTCAGCTTCCAACCAGACTTCCCTGTGGGTAAGCTGTCATTTTCAGCAGCAACACATCCCAGTTTCCACTTCTTTGGAAGTATGAGAGGAACCAGGAGGTCTGTACCATCAAGTAGGTTCAGTCACTGCAGAGTTGAAGCTGCGACAACTGTGAGATCCCCAAATACAGCCCATTTTATCTGAATCTGTGCAGCAAGCCCCTCCAGCCAAGTTTAATGCAGTACTTAGCTCACTCCTGCACAGAGCCTGTTTGCCAGACTGCAGTGAGGCGGAACAAAAAGATTTTTGCCACAGGGATGGCCTAGTGACTAATGAGTTTCATTGATCTTGTGTTTGCAGGAGAGAGCAGTCTATCCTCTGCAGTTCCTACGAGCTTTTCTGCTGGAAACTCTGAGGAAGCAAACGCAGGGCTGTGGGAGCACACTGAACCTAGTGATCCTGTGCTCTTATGGATGTATGAAGATGATGATAGTCCAGAAGATACCAGCATCAGGAAATCTCTCGATGACTTCTACAAAATGTATTGCAAAAAACGGCCAGACAGAACGGATCCCACCTACGAGGCTGCATCACAATGTCTGTCACAGAGGGTTTCAGAGCTAGCAAACCAGGATGGAACAAAATATGCGTCACGTTGCCTGCAAATGGCCCAGGTGGTCCTGAACAGAGATGGGTGTAAGATCTTCCCAAACAACCCCCCTGCTGCCTGTTTTTCAAAGACAGCTGAAGGAGAAGTCGTGTTAGAAGACAGAAAGATAACACCCGGACTCTCTGATGACGTCCTGGAATTTTTATTGAAACAAACACGGACAAAACACGTCTCTGACATGTCGCATGAGACGTAAGCAAGATACTGGTTTGTTTCTGTCACTGGACCTTTGCTTTATCTCCAAAAAGAGGTGACTTTCTTGGAAAGACACTGCTCCTCTTAGAACCACCTTCAACACCACATGTTCCATGGAGGCGTTCACCTGGAGCAGACCTTGCCACCGTGGCCTTTGCAGGGCAGCACCGCATAAGGAGCGTCTGAGGTCCCCATGTAACTGTTTGGGTTGTGTTGACTGATTGGGATAGGTGATCCAGTGTCTGTTGCTGGGACATCAAACATGAGTACGTACACCCACCAGGCTTTTAAATTGGCCTGCATCCCTACTTCAGCCCACATTCAATGCCTGTGCAGGCATGGATGTCCAAGTGCTGTTGACTGTAACAGACTGATTGAACGAGCTTGGCACAGTATTCCCCAGACCTAGGGAGGAAACTTCAGATTTTGTTCTGTACCTGACTGATACCATAACACCTATGTCTCCTATCCGGGGGTGCCTGATAGCTGTGTGTGTTTGCCTGCAGACTTACGATCCCACACATCATGACTGCAATGCGGGCGAGCTTTTTTGACAGAAAAAGTGCATGTGTGCATCAGAGAGAGGAAATACAGCTTCTGAGCAGGTTATTTTTTTAACAGGAGGGGTAAAAAAAGAGAAAGAAAAGCTTTATCACTTTAGTGATGTTTCTAACACTTCAAATGCACCAGCTGAGCAGACTGGGGATTTTTTCCTATCTAGATGAGGTGGTGTAAGAGCAACCACAAATAGATCTATGAATGAGGATTCTGCAGAGGTGCCCACAGAGAAGCTGCAGAATTGGTGCGAGCTGCCCTGATAGCTTCCTGCTGTAAGATGCAGAGTACCTAAGAAAAGCAGAGCTCACATACCAGCCTGTCCGAGGCTGTGGGTTGCTTGGTTGAATCTGTAGGGGCAATGCTGCTTTCTCTGGCCCCCTCCCTACCCATGAGCCACTGCTGATTTTTCCTACCATAGAGGCTGAGCCCAGAGCTTTGACAGAGAGGAAGCCAATGCTCATTGCTTGAGTACGCTCTTACCTTTTCTGGCACTGCACAAGACATTGTGATTGTTGTGAATATTCTTCTGATGTGTTGACGGATGAGGGAAAATGCTCTGAGAGATGTTTGAACCATGGAGGTGGTTGCTCTCCAGTGGGGATCATCTGGCATTGGTTGGTTCCAGCAAAGGTTTGCTACTTCTTAAAACCTTTGCTGCTCTTTATACCCAAAACATTCTTGCTCTGATTTATCTGGCAAGATCACCACTGGCTGCAGTGTGAGCTGGCCCAATGCACTGGTTGCCCAGCTTGGGTTTTGGTGACTGTCACTTGCCCTGTGACATTAGGAAGTGACCTGAAGGACTGATTCTCAGTAGTTGATTTTGATCACTGCCTCCTGGGGAGTTTGAAGTGCCCTGGGTCTGATGCATCACTATGAATTTGGCAGGCCTAATTCTCCTTTGCTTTGTGCTTATGGAAATCAGGAATCTCAAGGAAAACAGGTGCATGAGGGATGCAAGACTGGGCTCCCGCTGTTGAAGCCTTGGTGGGAAGGGTGCTGCTGCCATGCAGGGCTGCAGTGACACACGGCTGCAGTTCAGGCCCCTCTGCTCAGCACGTGGGAGCTCTTTGAAGTGGTCAAGCAGGAACAAGCAGAGCTTCCGATCTCTGTGGAGATGGTCAGTCATTAAAGCTATGCTTTACTGTCTGCAATTATAAATCTTCTGTTCTTGATTGATGTGTCGGGTTCTAAAAGAGACACTTGAGTTGGAGAAGAGAGTTATGTGGTAGTCCTTACCAGGGTTGCCAGGCCTGCTGCTTTGATGTAGGTCTTGCCTTGTTTCACAGCTTGCTTGGGGAGCTTGCATGTCAGAGAAACCTTCTGGAAAAATTCCGAGTTTTGTCTTCTCCAAGCTTTTATTGTTAGATTTTCATTAAAACTTAAAATAAACCTAATTATTTTGTCGGATTTTCTTATTTTAGGTGCTTACAGAAGCAGAGAAGAGCTCAGCTGGATAAATTAGGCTCCAAAATCCCATTGATTTTCAATGGTAACGGAATAAGCTAAATGTTTAGGGGAGTCTGACAATCTTGTCAGATATGTGGTGTTAGGAGCCAAAACATGGTAAAGTTTAGAACACCTGATCATTC